CCTAGGAGGACATACAGAGGATCCAGAGACACATGAAAAGATACTCAATATTGCTAGCTATCAGAGAGATGCAAATTAAAACCACTATGAGATACCATTTCACACCAGTCAGAATGGCCATAATAAACAAAGCAACAAATAACAAGTGTTGGAGAGGTTGTGGAGAAAAGGGAACCCTAGTGCACTGTTGGTGGGACTGCAGACTGGTGCAGCCACTATGGAAAACATATGGAATTTTCTCAGAAAACTAAAAATGGATCTGCCTTTTGACCCTGAAATTCCACTGCTGGGATTATATCCTAAGAACCCTGAAACACCAATCCAAAGAACCTATGCACCCCAGTGTTCATAGCAGCACAATTTACAATAGCCAAGTGCTGGAAGCAACCTAGGTGCCCGTCAGTAAATGAATGGATCAAAAAACTACGGTACATTTACACAATGGAATTCTATGCAGCAGAAAGAAAGGAGCTCCTTCCCTTTGCAACAGCATGGATGGAGCTGGAAAGCATTATGCTAAGCGAAATAAGCCAGGCAGTGAAAGACAAATACTATATGATCTCACCTTTAACAGGAACCTAAACAACAAAACAAAGAAACAAGCAAAATATAGCCAAAGACACTGAAATAGAGAACAGGCTGACAGAGACCAGAGGGGAGAGGGGAGGGAATTTCAGAGGAGAATTGTTAGGGTTTACAGGAACAAATATAAAGGACACATGGACAAAAACTAGGGAGGGGGGTGGAAATGGGAGGGAGGTGGGGAGGGAGGGGTGGGTGGGCTAGGATGGGAGTAAAGGACAGAAAACTGTACTTGAACAATGATTAAAATAAAATTGGAACCCCCTCAAAAAAGAATATGAAACACACCCTGTTTTCACTTACACAATAAAGAATATTATTCTTAAATATAATCATATTATTATCATTCTTTCATTGTACAATTATAAAAAGATCTAATTAGTTTTAAACTTTAGTAGTTCCACATTCTCCAAAGTCTTGGTTTTCATATTTTTGAATATATACCTTTTTAACTGCCTTGACCTTCTTTGGTATAAGTTAGAGATATATAGAGTATATAGCCAAATAAGTATTCATTTGTAGAGAAGATGAACAAAAGAAGTGTTGAATGACACAGTCTAGACTAGAACTGATTTTTGAACCTAGAACCAAAATGGACATTATTCCTTTTCATTTACTGAAAAATTCATCTGCACAGATAATTCCACAGAAAAGCAAAATTATCACTTAATATATTTTTTCAAAGCCTCACATCAGAATAATAATAAAATGAAAATAGTGCATTTAAAGAATTAGTTGATTACTTAAGAATACTATATAGATCAAGATGAAATATACAAGTTGATGCTTTTCTTTAGAGTGTAATTAACCATACACTGAAAATCATGGATATTCTGGGATATTTTACAGCACAACTATTTTGAAAGATGTAAGCAATGACTTAATTTAATCTTATTAATACCTCAGCCATGACTAATCTTGTAATATTTAAAAGCTACATTAACATTTGGGTTAAGACCATTCAACAACAAGTCAAGTCCAACCTTTTGTGCTTCAAGCAAACCAAACACATACCACTAACCAATACAGAAAAGTTCATCATTACAAAACCTAATCTTGGAACCTTCACATTATTTGTTAGCTAGTCTTTAGTAACCTAGTTGATTCTATTCATTAATTGGATTACTTAATACATTTTTAGAAAAATATCTACCCAAGAAATAAGACATAAATCTGACACTAAATTTACTCTTGAAAATTTGAAATTTGCTATAGCCATCCTCACAGGTAGGCATATAAAAAAAACTATTGTTAAGCAACCTGAAACATTTACTCATAAAAGTAGGTAGGTTTGTTATTATCCTGATAGTATACATATAATGTAAATGATTAATTTCATTATTCATAATGTTCTGTGTTTCTACAGTAGTTTGCTGTGCCTTTAGTTATTCACCCACAGGCAGTCCATGCACTAAAAAATGTATATTGGGATTTTAGAAAATGAATGCAAAATGAAATATATCAATGCAGGTATAAAAGAATGTCAGGGCTGACCTCCTTTATGTAATATACAAGGCAGGAAACTCTTTAAAAAGAGAACTAAAAAATTCTCTTTCCCTGTTACATGAAAAACTAAACTAGTAAAGAAAAGTTTTATCAGTTTATATTTCAAAAGCATATATGACCATTGATTTAAAAAACACCAAAACCCTCAAATATACCCATGGTTAATCTAATGATTCCCTTAAACCATGTTTATATGAAGTCAGCTTCTGAATTTAGTATTTGGGGATGACAGACAACCTCTCCAAAAATCTAAAATGTAGAAACAAGTCCCTGGCCAGGTAGCTCAGTCGGTTAGAACATCGTCCCAATATGCCAAGGTTGCAGGTTCTATCTCCAGTCAGGGCACATACATGAATCAACCAATGAATGCATAAATAAGTGGAACAACAAATAGATATGTCTCCTCTCCTCTCCTCTCCCCTCCCCTCCCCTCCCCTCCCCTCCCCTCCTCTCCCCTCCCCTCCCCTTCTGTCTTTGTCTCTCATCAGTAAATAAAAAGTTTGTTATGGTGGAAAAAAAGAAAGGCAGGGAAGTTGAGTTGGCAGTGTAGGATTAGAAGAGACAATTTAAAATAGGATAGTCAGGAAAATCTTCCTTAAAAATGACATTTGAGCAAAGCCCTGAAGTGGGTGAAGGAGTGGGTCAAGTGAATAATAAAGGAAGCACATTTCAGGGAGGTGTCTCTAGTGACTACATGGTCAAGGCTTGTCTATTTATTACAAGAATTTGAGTTTTTACCACAAGTGAAATGGGAAAACATTGAAAGATTTTTCTGTTTTGTTTTGTTTTTAGTCAAAGCATGACATGATCTCACCTGTATTTTCCAAATATCACTCTTGCTGTTTTCAGTGCTACTTGGGGATGAGTTAATTGGAAGTTCTTGCAATAATCCAGACAAGATGTAATGGTCTCTTAGATCAGACTGGTAATGGCGAGAATGGCAAGTGGTGAGACTCCAGATATATTTTGAATGTAGAGCTAACAGAATTTGCTGACAGATTGGATGTGAAGTGTTGCCCAAAAATGACTCCAAAGATTTTGTTCTAAGCAACTGGAAAGATGGATTTAGCATTTACTCAATTAGAGCAGAGGAATTTTGGAGGAAAGATCAAGGGCTTGGTTTGGAATGTGCCTAGTTTGATATGCCCCCTTAGAGGTCTAAGCAGAGATGAGATGTAGAACAGGCAGTTGAATCTACAAGTCTGGTTTTGCAGGAAGGTTCAGGTAGGACATATAACTGCAGGAGTATTCAAGATATTGATAATAACTAAAACACTGGAACTCAATGGGAGCTCCAGAAGAGTAAATGTAAATTTATTTAAAATGTAGTTATTTATTTAACAAACATGTTTTCCAGCACTATTCTCAGTGCTCTGCAAGTATCACCTAATTTAGTTTTCATAACTGTAGATCAGTCATATTATTTTCCCCTTTTCCCACATAAGGAAACAAGCACAGGAGACTAATTTGCTCAAGATTACAAGTAAATGGCCAATAAGTGGTAGATCTATAATTTCTATCCAAGATGTCTTGTCCAGATCCAGAGTTCTTAGAAGAGAAGTTATGTACAGGCCTTGAGGCTTTAGTCACTACATCTGGAGGTTTGGAAGATGAGGCAGATCAATAAATCTTATTCATAGCAGGTAACACATTTTACTTTTCCATAGTAATTCTATGCTCGGGGAGAGTAAATGCACCAATGTTTTGTTTCCCTTTATATTTTTGTATATTTTCTTTTTTTTTTAAACATCAATGACCTTTAATTTTTTTAAGATTTTATTTATTTATTTTTAGAGAAGGAAGGGAGGGAGATAGAGAGAGAGAGAAACATCAATGTGTGGTTGCTGGGGGTTATGGCCTGCAACCCAGGCATGTACCCTGGCTGGGAATCGAACCTGGGACACTTTGGTTCCCAGCCTGCACTCAATCCACTGAGCTATGCCAGCCAGGGCTTATATTTTTGTATATTTTCAATAATAATCAAATATTAGCAGAATCAGAAAAAATTGTACTAAAATAATAGAAGCTGCAGAGTAATTGTTTAAACCTCGTTTCAGTGGAGATGTATCATTCTCTACTTGCAGCACAGTTAAATGAGAAAACACAGAGGAAATTATCACAGAGAGACTGATGTGAAGTTCTATGCTTGGGGCATAAACAGAGTTACCATAAAATTTATTTTCCAAGAACCACTCCTGAAAATAAAAGGGAGCACTATTAACTGCACATTGACAAGAGGCTTAGGTTAGGACTTCCCTAAACCTAAGGGTATATTACCTAAGGGTATACCTAAATATACCCTAAACATATGTAATAAGCATAGATACCTTGGGCAGCCTCTTTCTTAAGAACAGCTCATATTATACGAGAGAACAGACTCTCACCTGATCCATTCACACTGCCAATTATTAATGGTTGACAGCTTCTTACTGATCATTATAGGTGAAATGTATTTATTCAATTTATTATTTATTTGTCATTATTGTTATTTAGATTTTATTACTAATCTGCATGTTATTGCATATGAGTATTGGAGCTCATCTACTTGGGGCTCATCAGCCCTTAGGATGAGGAATAACAGAGACTTAAGCTCTTTTCATGATTAAAGCCTCATTTCAAAGATTTGAAAAGAAATATTAAAAATGTTAAGTATAAGTGAAGCCTAGTCAGAAATCACTTTACAAAGTGATTAAATACTATATTTATAGTCATTAAAAAAATTCTCTTCATTCCAATTCTAAATGAAATGAACTAGGGAGAAAAAAAAATCTCAATATCCATTTCTATTTCCTATGCTACTTTTAATATTACATATGTACTTAATTTGGTGTGGAACATGTGCAGGATGGAATGGCAAAATGGAAATACAAGGGAATATACTGTACCTTGTTTTACCTGTAAGGAACACACACCTGACAAAAGGCAATTTTCACATCCAAGGTTGGTTCACTGCAGTAGTATAGTAAATGGAGGCTCATAAATACCTATAGAAAAAAAGGAGGGGCATGAATTTCCAAGTCACCTAATTGTTCATTATTAAATAATATAAACTTTAATATAATTTGAATTATACCCAAGGAGCTATGTAAAACACTTCAGCATAATCCTTATTCAGACTACAACTAGAAACTTTTCATAAATTGTAAATACTAAATAATAAGATAAAGTAAAAATGACCTGTCTTATGTAATGATTGACATCATTATAATCATCAAGAACAGATATAAGAATTTGGGTATACCTAATGAATTAAGGTAAGTGTATACTATCTATTATACAGCAATTTAAGTTTTAGTCTTCTAATTAAAAAAAAATTCCCAAATATATTTTCAAGAGTTTATATGACGATGTTTATTACAGAAAAAAAGGACTATTAAAATATAATTTATAACAAAATTACATTCAGGAATTGGAATAATTGAATTAGAGCTTATGATAATATACATTGCTTTGTTTAATAACCATATAATCACAGACTAAAGAAAATAGGGTACTATGTTAACATCTGTTTAATCTTGGTAGTAAGTATAAATATTTCAATTATATTATTTTCTGTATGTTTGAAATATTTTATAATTCTCTAAAGTTTTATGGAGAGGATAAAAATTATCTAATGTTGTAAATGCTAAATTGGACACTGGGTTATTGAGAATGATGAGGCAGCATGAGAGAAACCCAAATGAAATCTTAGTTTAGTTAAATTTATTGAATGTTTATTGTGTGCAAGACACAATTCTGTGAGATTAAAGAATTTTAAAACCACATTGATACAAGACTTGTTTCTGGCAATATGAAAGATTAGATATCCTGAAAACCACTCTCAAAGCAAAATGCAAAAAGTTAGATGAAATATACAAATTACCTTTTAAAGTGCATAGTAGAGCTGCCTAAAAAGACAATCAAATTTCTGAGGTGTTGAAGACAATGTCAAAGCATTCATGTAGACAAGTAATGAGCTAAAGCTGCCACTTGTCCCCACGCTATCTGCTAATGTCTGAAGACTAGAACTTTAGTTTTTAAAGAGCAGCATGCAGGGTATAGGAAATAAAGCTTAGAACCTGTCTATGGTGAGTACCATGAGAGACACCTACAAAAACTTCTGATAGGAAGTTTTAAACAAACTTCTGAAGCAAGCAAAAACGATCCCAGAAGGAAGGTCTGAATTGCAAGAAAAAAATATTTTACATTGGAACTTGTACAGATTTTTTTAAATTTAAGGAAGAATGAAAGAACAAGAATATGTAAGACATTCTTGAAGAACAAGGTGGGCATTTGTGAGGGGTGAGAGAGAATTGCTCTCCCACAGATCAAGGTTTATTTTAAAGTTCTACCAAGTAAAGGTATGTGGGGTTGATGCAGAGGTCGACCATCAATTAAAGGAATAGAGAGCCCAGAAACACATATACATATATAGAAACCTGATTATGTTATATTATGTTAATATAGTCACTTAAGCCTAATTATATTAAAGTTATCTGGGGATGAAAAAAAACACTATGCATTAAATCCTGCTGAGACAATTGGTCATGAACATGGGGGAGCAGAGGGAGAAAGCACATCCCTGTTGGGAAACAATTCTGCATGGGCCTCTCACATTTCTTCATGACTTTCAAACAGAAGCACTGGTCACCTTTATTCCAGACTATCTTTTTAAGGAATGTTATACAACAAACAGCCTTGGAAGAGTAAGATAGTATCTCCCTCTGAAGCAAAGGCCAATTTTATTACTTTCCAGTATAATATAGATAAGGTGTCCCCTCTGGGGCAAAGGTAAGGCATGTTACTACCCATTATAAAAGATTTGGATTCCCTTAGGTTGGGGTTCATCTTTTACAACATAAATGTGTGTGCAGAAGCCACTTGACCTTCTCTGAGGCACCCTGTGGGAACTGGGGTCTGAGAAATTGTCAGTAATGCTGACACTCTAGCTACTGCTATTGATGTAACCCAGGAATCTTGTGTCTTCTGCCAGTAGCCATGAAACCAGGGCAGGCTAATTTGCAAGTACTGTAACATCTCAGACCCTGCAGAGTTCTTGGCCATCCCCAGCTCATATTGTATGAAAAGCAACTACAGAAGGACTAAAGTTTTTAGGAAAGGCCAAACTTTAAATATTATAGAAGGAAATATAGTTGGATATCTGAGAAATACATCATAAATATATGTTAAATTACACAGAAAATTATTAATAAAATGGGCTATTTAAAATTTATCATTTCTGTTTATGACAAAATCCAATACAGAAAAAAGTATGCCACAAATTTAAAAAATATATTTGAAATATATATAACCAGTGGAAAATTTATCCAGATTTTATAAAAAGCTGCTAAAAGACCAGAAGAAAAATACAAAGAAGGGGCAAGAAAAAATAAAAGAGTGAGCAAAAAATATGGAAGACATTTAGTAGAAAAAGAAATATGTGTAAATTAAAACTGCATTGAGATACTATTTTACACTCATCAAATTGTTAAAAGTTGAAAACTATGATAACATTCAGTATTTTCAAAGTGATAGATAAGGTGGAAATATGTATTCACTGCTGACAGGTGGCAACTGGAACAACCCAATTTAGAAGGAAAATAGCATTATATAGTGAAGTGCATAGCTTACCACCCAACAATCCACTTCTATACATACTCCCAAAGAAACTCTTGTGTTTTGCTACCAGGATATATGTAAAAGGAAGTTCATTAGAATATTTTTGTAACAACACAACAAATAAGTAATTAAAATTTAAACTGAAAAAATATTCATAGAGGGAACAATGTATAAATAAACCATGGTATATTCATTTAGTGGAATATCATATAGCAGTAAAATGGTTGAATAAAAAAACAAATCTCAACATGACAAAATATCTTAATCATGTTAAACAAATGAAAAGAACTCATGTCAATTTAAATTATGAAAGTTCCAACATATGCCCAATGAAATATTTATTCTGTAGGAATACTTTTTTTGCTATGACAAGACTATAAAGAAAATCAGAAGAATAAAAAAATGCAAAATTCAAGAGATTAGATGGCTCTCCTGGGGGTGGGAAGAATGCCACTGGAAAGGAGCGTACAGGGGTTTCCCAAGATGTTCTTTATTTTATTTTACTTTTTATTTTATTTTACTTTACTTTATATAACTTTGTTTTTATTGTTGACTCTGTACAGATGTCCCCATTCCTCCCCTTTACCCATATTCATTCAGTCCCCGCCCCACTTCCCTCTGACCATCACCACATTGTTGTCTGTGTCTATGGTTTATGCACAGATGTTCTTTGGCTAATCTCTTCACCTTCTTTACCACACCCTTCCCCTCTGACAGCTGTCATTTCAAGTATCCATGCCTCTGTTTGTATTTTGTTTGTCAATTTTATTGTTCATTAGGTTTCACATATAAGTGAAATCATATGGTATTTGTCTTTCACCAACTGACTTATTTCACTTAGCATAACAATCTCCAGGTCCATCTATGCCATTACAAAAGGTAGGAGCTCCTTCTTTTTATGGGCATATAATATTCCACTGTATAAATGTACTACTGCTTTTGTATCCACTCATCTACTGATGGGCTCAAAGTATGCTTTATGTCTATTTCTTCTAGCTGGGTGGTAAAGTCATAGATGTTTGTTTCATTATTATTCTTTTTTTAAAACCCTACATATATTAATTATAAGCTATTTAATATGTCTGAAATATTTCATAATAAAGTTCAAGTGACACAAGAAAACTGTGGTCCTTCATTCTGCTGGGCATTGTAGTCTAGGTACAGATGTCTGATACAAATGCATTCAAAATATCGAATAACAGGAAATGATCTTAAGAACAAATGCTGAGGAGTGTAACATAGGACAATAGAACTTTTTGATGAAACCAGTAAACTACTGAGTAAAGAAATTCTGGATCTTTTCTACTTCTACACTTTCTGTTATATGAGAAAATAAATTCTCCCCCCAGATAAAATTCCTAAAATATTAAGTAAAAAGTAAGACAACAAAAGAAACAATTTACCCCTCGATTTGTAATCTAAGAGATTTTATTGCATTTTCCTAAGATTTATGTAAAACTGTTTACCTCTACTTCATATTTAAAATTTTTTAAATTTAATTTGAATTCAGGTATAACTTATACACAACAAAAATGGGGAGTTTTTAAGTATACGGTTTTAACAAATGAATGGATCCGTGTAACTCACATTCCAATGAAGATAAAGAACAGTCAAAACCTCTTTGTTCCCCACCCCTCAGGAACAAATGTTCTGACTTTGTTTTATTATAGATTACTTTTTCTTGTCCTAGAACTCATATAAGTGAAGTTATTGAGTTTGTACTCTTTTTTTTGTTGGGCTTCTTTTACTCAGCGACATGCTTTTAGTATTCACCCATGTTGGCATATCAGTAGCTATTCCTCTTTATTGCTGAGTAAATAAGGTATCACAGTTTATCCATTCTGCCTTTGGACATTTCAGGTGCTTCTATTTTTGGATGTTAATAATGCTGCACAAACATTTATATACATGTGTTTTTGCACATATATGTTTACATTTCTCTTTGGAAATATGTCTAGAAAAGGAATTGTTGCATCATGGGATAGGAACATGTTTAAGTTACGACAAAGAGCCATACACAGTCCTTGTCTACCCCCTGTAGCAGTGTATGTACATCCAGGGGTTTCACATCCTTGCTGATATTTGATGTTATCAGTTTTCTAAATTTTAATCATTCCAGCAGGTATTTAGTAATATTTTATGATTTTATTTTTTTCATTTTAGATGATCAATGATGGTGAGAACGTTTTTACCTGTGATTACTGGCCATTTACTTATCTTCTTTTGTCTAGGTGCCTTTTTAGGTATTTTGTCCACTTCATGGTGGAATATATGGAGGAAAAGGGTTGTCCTTTCATTTCAAATTGTAGATATTCTTCATCTGAGATAATTTTCTGTCAGATATACATATTTTTCAATATATTTTTCCATAGCTTGCATATTCAGC